ATACATACATACATACATACATACATACATACATACATACATACATACATAATTATAAATACGTACATACATAAATACATGCTCAATAACGTACATAAATACACAATATCACACAAATACAGAACAGTCTACAACCATACCATTGTCGGTCGCCACTGTGCAGCGCCCTGTATTCTGAGTTAGGGTTGTCGTGTCTTTCTCAAGGACACACCCTAGCGACCACCCATCTGATCCCCATGTCACCGACACTTGCTTAACATTACTTGAATTTAAACTCACTACTCACTTAGCCACTGGAGCCCCCATGAGGCTTGCTGACAAAATAAGTGACTTCTCGGGTTTTAGCCCTGTGGAAATCATCATCGTCGCTGCCTTTCTCACCCTGCACCAGGGTATAAGCCACGAACAAACACTTTCCACCTTTCTCTATCCTGGGCTAGCCTCTTGATGTTATTCCATGTCTTCCCACTTTTCTGTTCCTGAATTTCTGTGATTCTTCTCCAGGTTCCACGCGGTCTTCCCCTTGATCTTTTACCCTGTGGTTTCCAATCCAATACTTTCTTTGCTATGCAGCTACCTGACTTCCTGAGAGTATGTCCAATCTGTCGCCACCGCCTTTTTCCTACCTCATCTCTGGCTGGGATCTGTCTTGTTTTCCTTTACATTTCCTTGTTGGTGACCCTCTCTGTCCATCTGATCCTCAGTAACTTTCTTAGATGTTTGTTCAAGAAAACCTGGGTCCTCTTTATGCAGGTCTGTGATGCGTTCCATGTCTCACGTTCATACAACAGGTGGAGTTTTTACAATTTATTAGTCTCTTGCTGTGAGTCTCCATGTCTCTGAACCATACAGTAGAACAGTCTTCACGTTTGTTTTGAAGATCCTCAGCTTGGTGTTAAATCCCAGTTCCTAAGACAAATTTGTTAGAATGAAATAATTTAAAAAATTGTTAGACTTGGCGGGGCTCCTCGTGTTTTGCTGATACGTTTTTCCACAGAGCGAAGATCGGCGGCCATGACGGTGCCCAGTTTAAGTGTACAAATCTATGGCAACTGCACTTTGTTGTGTGTTTGCAATCCCTTCTTTCTGATAGAATTATTGCCTGCTACTTGATCCACATGTAAATGCTTGTCTTTCCGTTTGACTCCTTGATTGATACTTCCACATGTAAATGTTTTGTCTTTCTGTTTGACTCCTTGATTGACACTTGAATGTTGGTTTTCCTTCACAGAGAGGAGAATGCGTTAGTGGACCGCTTCACTTTCCAAATCCTCGTCAACTTTGTTGAGAGCTTGGCCATGGCTCACACGGATGAAAAATCTTTGGGTGAGCTGTAACTGTTCATAGGATAGATTAGATAAGAACAAGATGTTGTTGTTGTTGTTTGTAACGAATCTAGATCTAGATAATCTGTAGGCACTATCCTGTTAAGTCTCTTGATGAGGTGTACTCAGAATGTGTTGTTCACGGCGTGACAGCTCTGGGGGAAGTGAAGTCTCCCTCCTAAGTTAGGTACAGCTTCCGGGTCAGCTCCAGTAATCAGTAGTGGTGTGCATTCGCATATTTCTTATTCAATAATTACTTTATTACATGACATTGTTGTTGAATCAAGATTCTTTGGCCACGTAAATAGATCAAATGGACTAGAGAAACTGCTGCTGTGTGGAAAGATAGAGGGAAGGAAGAGCAGAGGAAGACAAAGAACAACATACACGGATGGCCTGAACAACTTTGCCATGGATAATGCAAAGAGAAAATCCGTGCTGATCGAGAAGACAGACGACAGGAAGGAATGGGGTACCATGATCATCAATGTCTGCTCCAGACCTGACACCTTAAGAAGAAGAAATTGTTGTTGCTATCGATCCAGCAACAGCTTGGCTCTCGTTGCTGTGTCCAATGCCGTGTTGCAATAAGTGCAGGTTTGCTGCTGTTGCTGCAATGTTCCATAAAGTGTGTTGTCAATGTTAGGTCTCAGAGGAAGTTGTGTGGCTCTAATGTCATTTAGGGCTGTGCAGTGGAACCGGTGATGATCCACTGTCTCATATACATCTAACAGGGCTGCCAACCTTTCCGATTTTTTCTTAATCATTACGATTTTTTAGCCTCACTGTGAAATTCCGATTATAAGGCGATTTATTATGATTTTTACCGCCAGCAGATTTTTGGCTCTAAAAAAAATATTTTTGGCTCTTTTTTTGATTTTACAAGTCCTAGTGCAGACCTGTAAATTGTCCGCCAATAGTCGGAAAACCGCCAATCTCTAAATCAACCCCCGCCCCCCTAAAAAAAAAGGACAAGCGGGCTAACCCAGATTTGGGGGGGGGGTTTGAGAATTCTTGACCTGCACCAAAAGTGGGCATTGCCCTACCTATAGGAGAAGTTTGGTTTCATTTGTGTGTATATCAGTTTAAAATTCTCCTTGTCTTTTAAAGAAACTGAACAAGGGGCAAAACTTTACCTTTGATTTTCTAATTTTCTCAAAACAGCATTTTTCGGGATAGCCCCCTTGTGTTTAAAAGCGACCATGTGTCATCTAAAGAACTGTGTGCGTCTATCCTGTCAGGCACCCAGGAGCAATGCAGCAAAGCTTTGGATCATCTGGAGAGAATTATTCGGGTCAAGGTGGACATGTTAAAGGAGGATCCTGGGTTGAAAGTTCGGCCCGAGCCCAGGTTTGTCTTTTATTTGTTTTCCCTTTGTGATTTCCATTTTTTTGTTGAAAGATTTTTAAAATAGCAGTTTTGTTATTTTTATTATTATCTCCTTTATTGTATATTATTATTATTATTATATACATATTGATATTATCATTACTATTATTATTATTAGGTTATTATTATTATACATGTTATACATAGTATTATTATTATTATTATTATTATTATTATTGTTTTCATCTTTATTATTTTTATATTTTCATCTTTATTATTTTTATATTTTCATCTTTATTTTTTCATCGTTATTATTATTATTATCATTATTATTATTTTTATTATTATTATTATTATTATTATTATTATTATTATTATTATTATTATTGTTATTATTATTATTGCTATTATTAGTAGTAAGATTATTATTACTATCATTATTATAATTATTATAATTATTACAATAATTATTGTTAGAATTATAATAATAATTATTATTATACATATTATACATATTATTATTATTGTACATATCATCATGGTTGTTATGTTTTCCCCAGTGCTTGGAGCAGCAGGAAGCTGGAGTTTGCGGTGCGCTGGTTGACCCGTCAGTGCGGGCGGCCTCAGACGGAGTGTCGACACGTGTGCATGAGACTGGTGTACAATCTGTGCCCTTTGCTGCAAGGTATTTTCTTCTCACTCTTTCAGGATTTGCGGGTGGTTGGTGGGTGCTCTGGTGCTGTTTGCCCCTTGCTGCAAGGTACTTTCTTCTCACTCTTGAGGGGAAGTTTTGATTTGTGGGTGGTTGGTTGGTCTTCTCACTCTTTCAGGATTACCCCGTGGGGCGGTACTACTGACTGAACTGTCTTTAGGCCATTCCCAAAGGGGGGACATTAACATCTCGAATTCTTATGCACAGTAGAATTGTAATTGTAAATGGGCTGATTCATCAGTGTCATGCTCATAACTGTTCCGGAATTGCAAAAGGGAACTGCTGCTTTTTCTTTCCTCATCCTTACTTTCGTCAATTTTCCCCTACTTCTTTTGTATGTTTGTCACTCTCTTGTGACCTGCTATTTTTTTTTTAAGCATTGACTCTTTGTCGAAACTGATTTCTTTTGATTTAAATGTCGCTTTTAATCTGTTCTTACATTCTCTAGGTGTGAAGTCCCAGAAGACATTTTTCAGCATCATCCACAAATCAGAAGGAGCTTCGTACTTTCTCAAGCGGTATGATATCTCTGTCTTGTGTTTTTTTGCATCCCCACTGCCTTGGGAACTGCTGCTTTTTCTTTCCTCATCCTTACTATTATAAATTTTCCTCTACTTCTTTTGTATGTTTGTCATTCTCTTGTGAACTGCTTTTTCCGGGGTGCCTTGATAGTTGGAGCCGACTTTGTGCTGTTGAAGCTAGAGCGGTGAGCAGAGTAAATCTGATTCCCTGTAAGGACTTCTCTGTTGACATCCACCCCTTGGCGCTCATATGACCTTATGCAGTTGGGAGCGCTGTAAGACCTTACGAAAGCTAACTGCTCTGCCAAATGAAAGATAATTTCAGGAGACACTGGCGTGGTAGAAAAAAAAAGATTCATTTTAGAATCATAGCTGCCCCCCAAAAAAGTGCTCAACCTCAGTTATGCAGTTACAATGTTGTTTCATTGTGAGGGTGGAAAATTTATCAGCGTCATTCCACAATTTGTTTGTGGTTGGTGGGGGGGGGGGGGTAGGGAGGGGGGATTTGTGTGGTTTGCTCCTTCTTTCTGATCAAATGTCTATTCTGCTGCAAGCGGACGAAACGCCTTTTTAAAATTTACCACAGTTTCGAGAAAATGAGGTTTTTCGTCAGCGTAACCATTAAAAAGTAGAGTGTTTCCGAAATTTGAATTCTAATTTATTCACGAACTAGTCACACTTTCATTTTTTTTCTTCTCCACACAAGTAGGGTAACTGATCAGGCCTTTGAGTTAGCAAATAACAGTTTTGACGCCTAAGGCGTTTTGTCAGCTTATGGCAGAGTTGTCCTTATCTTTGTCTTCCTTCTTTTAGTTTCATGCTACTCTCCAGTAACACTTCCGATCTGCGGCCACTGATAGGGCCTATTTTTGTTGCAAGTGCCGTGAAACTTTTATTTAAAGCTCAAAATACGTTTCACAATCGCTCTCCTCAATGTTGAAGGGTTTCTAGACAGGCTGTTACTTGAATAAAGACGTTATGGGCCATCTAATGATACATAAGGCAGTGTGGTGAAATCAGGTGCTTGTCAAAACTATGAAATCAAAGAAACCAGCATTTTTGTGGGCGTAGGGCAATTTTTTCGATTTTATTATTTTTTTTTTTGCTCAACACTTTGTACGTTCCTATAAAAACACATTTCTGTGTGGATGTTACTGAAACACGTTCGTTAAAGGCATAAAAAATGTACATTTCCATTTTCCAAGGACACTATAGCTTTGGAGGTCGCCAGACTTTGGTGACCATTTTCTCGCTAATTTTACCTGTCCTACCAGGCGACTCCCACCTCCTTCAATCACAAATATCTCGCCTTCTGTTTTTTTTTCTTGCCAAATGCAAGACAAATGAACAAGCTTTGATTTAAGATTGATATCGATAACTCCTTATGCCAGAAAATAGACATGTGCCTGATTCCAGCACGTCATGACATATTTCGCGACCTCAGTGCCCTCTTGTCATATCTCCATTTCTTTAAAACAGTGAAAATGTGACATCTTCTTTTAAGCTCACTCTTTGTTATGAACTATTTTCACTGTTATTAAAAATGGATATGTGGGTGGTTGGCGGGTGCTCTGGTGTGATTTGCTCCTTCTTTCCTATCAAACATCTATCATCCTTATCTGCCCTTCTTTTTTATGTTTGTTACTCTCTTGTAACACCTCTTATCTTCTGGCACTCATATGACCTTATGCAGTTGCGAGCACAACTAAAACTAAAAACACTACAAGAAAGCGCCGGGGTCGCGATTTGCCGAGGGCATCCTATGTCTCTGTTGTTTTCGTCGTCAGATTTGAAGGTGGAGGTCAAGCGGCGAGCGACACGCACGGCATCCTGGGACAGCCGACGCTGCCAGGGAAGGACAAGAAGAGCTTCTCTCTGAGCGCCACGACCCGGTGGTTCGACCTAGTGTTGGCCGCTCTAGACTGCTCCTGCTGGGTGTTTGGGGAGGACCTCATGACTCTGTCACAGCTCTTTACTGGTAGACTATACTGCTGCTTGTTGTTGTTGTTGTTGTTGTTGTTGTTGACTCTGTCTCAGCTCTTTACTGGTAGACTATACTGCTGCTTGTTGTTGTTGTTGTTGTTGTTGTTGTTGTCGTTGACCCTGTCTCAGCTGTTTAGTGGGTGGTTGGCTGTGCTCTGGTGTGGTTTGCTTCATCTTTGTTATCAGACAACTGTTGTTCTATCTCTCCTTCTTCTTTTTTGTGTTTGTTACTCTCTTGTAAAACATGTAATTTATTGTATTCTTTGGCGCTTGCATGACTTACTTGTGTTGCTAGGTGTGAAAGAACGCTTACTAAAACTTGTATTTATGCACCGTATTTATGTATGTATAGTATATTATATTTTTTAAACCACTGTAAACCAAATTTCATTGGTGGTTGGCGGGTGCTCTGGTGTGGTTTGCTCCTTCTTTCCTATCGAACATCTATCGTCCTTATCTCCCCTCCTTATTTTTTGTGTTTGTTACTCTCTTGTAACACCTCTAATCTTCGGCACTTATATGACCTTATTGTGTTGCGAGTGCCGTAAAACACGTACTAAAACTTTAAAAAAGCAAATTTCCCTAGGAGCATCACTGAAAGTGGAATTTTTTAAATTGTATTTTTTTTTTTATTGAATTCTTGAACATGTCGAGGGTCAATCTGCTTTTCCATCTGTTTCCTTTTCTGACCCCCTCAAGGCAAAGGGTCGGAGATGAGTTGTATGTTCAAGAGTCTGGAGTTCTTTCTCCGAAGTGTTGCCTTTCAAGACATCGAGGGCGTCTCAAAGTTGTTCAGCTCATCTAAGGTGACGGTTTTCACGCCGTGGGAAAAAGATGAGTTCAATAGGTGAGAGTTCTGAGTCACTCATGAGTTCAACAGGTGAGAGTTCTGAGTCACTCATGAGTTCAACAGGTGAGAGTTGTGAGTCACTCATGAGTTCAACAGGTGAGAGTTTTGAGTCACTCATGAGTTCAACAGGTGAGAGTTGTGAGTCACTCATGAGTTGAACAGGTGAGAGTTCTGAGTCACTCATGAGTTCAACAGGTGAGAGTTCTGAGTCACTCATGAGTTTAACAGGTGAAAATCGCCCAGTAACTCAAATAATGAGTTCAACACAAGAGAGAAAATTGCCAGATGAGAAAGTTGCCCAGTGACTTCTTAGTTCAACAGGTGCAATTTGTCCAGTAAACAATGCATAAGAATTGCTCAGTAACTCTATGGGTTCAACAGGTAAGAATTGCTCAGTAACTCTATGGGTTCAACAGGTAAGAATTGCTCAGTAACTCTATGGGTTCAACAGGTAAGAATTGCTCAGTAACTCTATGGGTCCAACAGGTAAGAATTGCTCAGTAACTCTATGGGTTCAACAGGTAAGAATTGCTCAGTAACTCTATGGGTTCAACAGATAAGAATTGCTCAGTAACTCTATGGGTTCAACAGGTAAGAATTGCTCAGTAACTCTATGGGTTCAACAGGTAAGAATTGCTCAGTAACTCTATGGGTTCAACAGGTAAGAATTGCTCAGTAACTTATCATAGTATTTATTATGTAGTGTCTTTCTCATAGTGATATTTACTTTATCATGCTCTAAAGTTCAATTTTGTCAAAATATTTTAATGTTTTTTAATTAGTATGATTTTTTTCAAATAGCATTTCATATACAGTCAAACCTGCCCTGACGGCCACCTCTATAAGAATGCCACCTGTACAAACGACCACTTTCCATTTCCCCCCTTGCGTTTTTTCTATATAATTTAACTGTGTAAAACGGGCACCTGTCCAACGCGGCCGCGGCCACCATATTTTAACACACAACCCCTATCACACTAAGCAATAACACCTGTCTTAGACGGCCACCTTAGTGACTCCATTACGTTTTGTCATAAATTGTGCATTGGCCCCTGGCATTGTGGGCGAGCCGTCATAATTCAATCACATGTCGTTGTTGTTAGGTAGTCCCTCCAACCGATCATACTGCGTAGGCCCCTCCCACTGTTGGCCAATAACTACCAATTTTCAGCTGCTGGTGAGGTAAGCGTGTGATCCCTGAAAACCCATATGCCCCGTCCAGAACTCACACGCAAATCGTAAGTGAAATGAGTGGTCACTGTTTACCCAGTCTGTAACAAAGTAACAGAGGACGTCAACATGAACTTGTGACAGAAGCGTTGCTCGTTCTCCGAGTGGTGGCGACCAGTGTGTTTGTTTTAACATGGCACTCGGTCTTCCTCGTCAGATACATTTCGTTTTATTGTCACCCTTGTGCAAAATTAGCAAAGTCAAAATTACAAACAAAATACATGTACAAACCACCACCACCACCAACAACAACAACAAAAACAACAACAATGCGGCTACTTTCGATTGGGACCTCAAATGAGAATGGTTTGTTTTCTTCATCTTGATCAGTCCCGCCTAAGACGGCCACCTGTCTTATACGGCCACTTTTCTCTTGACAATGGTTGGCCATCTTACACAGGTTTGACTGTATTTAGTGTGAATTGGATAAGTCACTTCAAAAACACTTTGGTATGGAAGTTGAAAATCTGTTTTGAATTCTATATTGTCATCATTGCCCTTTCTTGTTGTAATCGTTTTATGAGAATAAAAGCTCATGATTTGTGATAACTTTTACATGATCGAAAATTTACTGACAAAGCCATCTCTGTGTTCTTCAGGATGAAATGCACGGTGATCATTCGCTTGTGGAACTTTCTGTCCATCCTGCTGGCTCGTCATTCTCAAGAAGTGTTGAAGGTAAAGCATAGCTGCCTCAAGCTTCTTGTTTTTCTTCTTTGAAACTTAAAACAATGGGTGAAAGGGCATTTGAATACCAAGGCCCCAAGATCTGGAATGCTTTACCTAGTACTTTAAGAGAGATCAAATCTTTTGATTCTTTCAAATGTCAGCTGAAGTTGTTTCTGTTTTCAAATTAATAAGATGAATATTTGGAGTAATTTTTCTTTAGTCAGAACACATTTTATGTTACTGTTGTACGCTGTACTGTATTGTAAAGCGCTCAGAGCCTGTGTACTTTAATTGGGGTTGAGTGCTGTATAAATGTCATTTATTTTTATTATTATTATTATTAGTAACTCTTAGTAAACCGAGGCCCCACCAAGGTAGTGTCACTGACTGAAATGTGTCTTAAGGCCATTCCCGCAGGGGGGGATATTAACATGTTTGTATGCACAGTAGAATTGTATTGATTTATCAATGTCATGCTCATACTGTGCCGGAACAACATAGGGGGAACTGCTGCATTTTCTTTCCTCATCCTTACTATCGTCATTTTCCCTCTACTTCTTTTGAATGTTTGTCACTGTCTTGTGAACTGTATTTTCCGGGGTGCCTTGATAGTCGAAGCAGACTTTGTGCTGTTTAGGCTAGAGAGGTGAGCAGAGTAAGCCTGATTCCCCGTTTGAACTTCTCTGTTGACATCCACCCCTTGGTGTGCTCCTATGACCTTATGTAGTTGCGAGTGCCGTAAAACTTTACTAAAATTAAACTCAGTTGTTTATTGAAGGCTTGATTCCTGTGCTCAGTTGGTTTGCCTCTCATTCAATAGGCCCCAGGTTCAAATCCGGATAGCGACGGAAAATTTTATTCTCTAAAATATACTCCTTTCACCTCCTTTCTTGCTCTCTAACAATGTACTGTGTCTGCTTTCGTCTCCACTTTTTTGCCCTCATCCCCTCACCTCCTTCGCCTCCTCCTCTGGGCTTCTGTCTCTTTCTGCAGCCTTTCTACTTTCTACCTTGGCTCCTTCTTACTGCTGTCTTTCAGCCGCACCTCTGATCTTCTGGTAGGAAAGATCTACACCTAGCCTTCTTGGACAAAGGAGAAACATTTTGGAGATGCCATGTGCAAGTTGCGCACGTTAAAGATCCCTTGGTTGCCAAAAATCGGTAAGAGTTCTCTTCGGCTGCTACCCAAAGAAAATTCAAAATGTCCTACAAACTGAAAATGTTTAGTGTGTCCTGCGCGCTCATATGACCTTATGCTGTTGCGAGCGCTGTAAAACACTTATCCCCCCCCCCAAAAAAAAAGAAGAAAAAAAAAGAAGATTGTGTACTGAAAGCTTGATCCTTGTTCTCAGGTGGTTCCTGCGTCCTTGTGGTGCGAGGATTTGTGGCGTCTGCTCTGCGACTGCGTCCTGCGTCCGGCCAGCGTAGGCTTCAACTTGGCCGACACTGAGATCATGCTCAATCTGCCGAAAGAGGTTTGTAAATCGTGAAACTGTATCCTTCAGCGTATTGGGGGCTCCAGTGGCTAAGTCAGTAGTGAGTTTTGACTCAAGCAATGTCAAGCAAGTGTCGGTGAATTGGGGATCAGATGGGTGGTCACTGGAGTGTGTCCTTGAGCAAGACACGACAACCCTAGCTCAAATTACAGGGCGCTGCACAGTGGCGACCGACAGTGGCATTGTTTGTAAACTGTTCTGTATTTGTGTAATAGTGTGTATTTATGTATGTATTTATGTATGTATGTATTTATGTATGTATGTATTTATAATTATGTATTTATGTATGTATGTTTGCCATTGTAAAACAAAGTGCCCTTCTGGGACAAATAAAAGTGTAATTATTTATTTTTTAAATAAATTTTTTAAATTGTGAATTAATGTTTGTATTAGAATTGGTCGCTTTTAAGCCAAATGCCAATGTGGAGAGGCAGACCAAACTGAGGAACACTGCAAGACAAACAGAGCCCAGAGTCCCCCCCCCCTGCAGGGCAGTGCTACTGACTGAAGTTGTCTTTAGGCCATTCCCAAAGCGAGGAATATTAACATGTTCTTATGCACAGTAGAGTTGTAAATGGGGTGATTTATCAATGTCGTGCTCATACTCATACTGTGCCGGAACAACATAGGGGGAGCTGCTGCTTTTTCTTTCCTCATCCTTACTATCGGTCTTTTTCCTCTGCTTCTTTTGTATGTTTGTCACTCTCTTGTGAACTGCTATTTCCGGGGTGCCTTGATAGTCAAAGCAGACTTTGTGCAGTTGAGGCTAGAGAGATGAGTAGTCTAAGTCTGATTCCCTGTGAAGACTTCTCTGTTGACACCCACCCCTTGGTGATCATATGACCTTATGCAGTTGCGAGCGCCATAAAACCCTCTACTATTAAAAAAAAATATTCCATTAAAAAAATGCTAGACATGTTGTGAAACTCAAAATCTGATTCCATGTTTGGACTTCTCTGTTGACATAATAATAATAATAATGAAGATAATTTCTATAGCGCCCACTCCCGTGTAAACACAGCTCTAGGCGCTTTACATAAATGCATGTACGAACAATATTCACGCTCGCGAAACACACGCACGCACACACACACACTCATACACACGCACACACACTAACACACACACATACACACACAAACACACTCGCACACACACTCATGCACACATTACACACACACATGTGCACACACATGTGCACACACATGCACGTCGAACACACACGCACACGCACACGCACACGCAAACGCACATGCACATGCAGACACACACACACACACATACATCTACTTGCTTTTCACACGCGCATGCTTACACATCGTTATGAAATGAGCACACACACATATATAATAAAATAATATACGCAATGCAATTCGCAAAATACATAAATGGATATATAGTCATTTACATAACATTGTACTGAACATGAATCTGCTGACATAAAAATGATGTCATTAAATGTGTCTTTAAAGATTTTTGAATCCTCCCATTGTCTCTCATAAGACCGTATGCAGTTGTGAGCGCCGTTGCTCTGGTGTGGTTTGCTTCTTCTTTCCTATCAAACATCTATCGTCCTTATCTCCACTCCTTGTATTTTGTGTATGTTGCTCTCTTGTAGCACCCCTAATCCTTGGCACTTAATTGACCGTATTGTGTTACAAGTGTCGTAAAAAACTTACAAAAAAAAAAAAACGTTACTAAAAATAAAAAGCAGATGTGACTGTTTTGGTTTACCACTACTGTGTGGGTGTCTGTCGTCAGATGAGTCAAGTTCTCGCAGTTGTCCACAAACACCTGCCTGCTCAACTGCTCAAACAGTTCAAGGTCACTCTCAGGCGACTGCTGGAAACTGAATGGTGAGTAGTGCCGAAGATTGTATGTTTGTGTGGCGTCGTGCTGAAATCAGGCGCTCGTCAAAAACAGTGAAATTTAAGAAAATCGTCCTCTAAGAGCCAGATCCGCGTATCATGATTATGGTGCGAAAATATTTTTCCCCCAATGGAAAGCGCGTATCATGGGCTTCATTTCTGTATAAGTTTCATAGAGTTCCCCTCCTTAAAATCGATATAAAAAGCAAATAACTGTTTCATTTATCATAGCTGTTTGCTTCCAAATTAGCTCATCTTGAGATGTGCGGAATGGATCTCAATATTGTTACAACTTGGATGAAGCAACAAGAATTATTATAGAACTGACAGTAACGCCAAGAACTCCTAAATTGCGTATCATATGACACGCTTTTAGGGCTTGATCGTTTCCGGTGTGTTGATCATTCGTACATGACGACTTTAATCAGTTTTTTGTTCCTCCTGACAAATTTGCTGAAACCTTGATACATGGAACTGGCTCTTATTGCACGAAATGACATTTTTCACCCTCGGTGATGGGCAATGTTTATTGAATTATTTATTTTGGACTCAGCACCTATTATTCCCTTTTCAAAACACATTCCTGTGTAGTTTTTACTGAACAGTGTTCATCAAAGGAACACAAATGTACATTTTCATTTCCCATGGACATTGTAGCTTTGGAAGTTCGCAAACTTTGGCAGCAGTTTTCTCACAGATTTTCCGTCTGATGCCAGGCGAACCACATCTCTTCCAGATATCTGGACTTCCATTCAAGATAGATGGACATTTTTCCTCCAAAAGCAATAACTTTATATGTGCAGATATCTGGACTTCCATTCAAGATCGATGGGCATTTGTCCTCAAAAAGCAATAACTTTATATGTGCAGATATCTGGACTTCCATTCAAGATAGATGGACATTTATCCTCCAAAAGCAATAACTCCATATGCGCAGATATCTGGACTTCCATTCAAGATAGATGGACATTTTTCCTCCAAAAGCAATAACTCCATATGCCACAAAATTGCAGAGTGCTTGATTCCACTGCATTGTGACACATTTCTTGTACATTTGGCCTTAGTTTGTTGTCTTAATTTTGATCAGTCCTGCCTGAGACGGCGGCCACCCGTCCAAGATGACCACTTTTCTCCTTCATGGCGATTGGTGGCTGTCTTAGACTATTTCCACTGCTTAATAACGTTCCTGTCCTATGTGACAAAAAAAAATAAAAAAAAATAAAAAAAATAATCCCCCCCCCCAAAAAAAAAGCAACTGAAAAAAGGAACAGGCAAGCTGCTGCGTTGACTTTTCCCTGCCTTATGTACCTGACGGTATTGGGAGAGAGTATTACCTGTATTACCTGTCCTGGGCAACAACGTCATTGCACACTGGACAGGTCCATAAGTGCTCAGTTCCCCACAGCACCAAAGCCCGCAAGAGAGTAAGTAAGTAATAATGTTCATGTACTATGGGACCAACCCGCCCCCAGAAAAAAAAAATCCAAAAAAAATCAACAACCTCCCTAAACAAAAACGAAACAAAACAAAACAAATCAAAACAAAACAAAAAAACTTGAGCCCCAGTCGTTTGTTCCATCTGTCGTCCCCAGCAACCTGACGTCGTCGCTTCCCCTTGATCTGAGCTCGGCCTCCCTGGACTACACACAGCTGAGTCAGATGGTGGGCGGCTACCGACAGCTGCACGCCGCCAAACTGTTGATGGACCAACTGCCGGCCGCCGCCACCGCCGGGACGACGTCAAAGGCTGACCTGGCCTCTCTGCTGCTAGACAATGTCTTCGAGGTAGAAAAGATGAGATGAGATGAGATAAGATGCGATAGATATGATAAGATGATAAAAGATAAGATTAGGTAAGGTGAGATGAAGTAAGATAGGATAAGATAGAAAAGGTTAGGTAAGATAAGATAAGAGGTAAGATGGCAGACTATGCCAGACAGAACTATGTGAATCTGAGGTAGTGAAATGGAGATAGCCGTGGTAACTGGAGATATCCGTGGTAACTGGAGATATCCGTGGTAGCTGGAGATATCTGTGGTAGCTGGAGATATCCGTGGTAGCTGGAGATACCCGTGGTAGCTGGAGATATCCGTGGTAACTGGAGATATCCGTGGTAGCTGGAGATATCCGTGGTAGCTGGAGATATTCGTGGTAACTGGAGATATCAGGGATTACATAAAGCAGGGTTCCTGCGGCCTCCTTGAATTCAAGGAGTCCTTGAAAACTCCTTGAATTTGCATTTAATGAAAAATCTCCAACAAATTTCCTTGAATTTGAGGAACCTCCTTGAAAAATTTGTCGGACAATGGAAGCTACGATTCCTTTAGGACTAGTGTAGGCCTATCGGAAATAGGCTTTCAGGTGCGAGTGCTCCGTCGAAAACGGCGTGAAAATTTCTGGACCAAATCTTCTTGAATTTTTTAAAGTTTTTGCTTGAAACCTCCTTGAAATCTCCTTGAAACCTCCTTGAAATCTCCTTGAAATCTCCTTGAAATCTCCTTGAAATCTTCTTGAAATCTCCTTGAAATCTTCTTGAAACCTCCTTGAATTCTCCTTGAAACCTCCTTGAAATCTCCTTGAAATCTCCTTAATTTGGTGGGGAGTTCAAGACAGGAATGATGAGTGAATGAGTGAAGATAATCTGATCGTTGGGGAATCACTTTGCGACACTTCACAGGGCCTGGTTCAAACAGAGGACAGAACGAGGACAGCTGCGACCTTGAGCCCGACAGCCCAGACCCTGGCCAACGCTCTCCTGGAGCTGTCGCTGCAGCTCTCCTTTGACGTGAGTCTGTCCCTCCCTCTTTGCATGGTGGGTGGTTGGCGGATGCTCTGGTGTGGTTTACTACTTCTTTCCTTTCAAACATTTATCGTCCTGATCTCTCCTCCTTCTTTTTTATGTTTGTTACTCTCTTGTAACAGCTCTAATCTTCGGCACTTATATGACCTTTTTGTGTTGCAAGTGCCGTAAAACTCTTACTAAAACTAACATTTTATAGGGGCTATAACACTTTCATACTGACAAAGATCTTTTGCTGTCAATGGCCAGGTAACTGTTCCCACCTGAGTGAAGTGAGGAACATTCGTGGTAAGTGCCTTTCCTAAGGACACAACGTTTGGGCCTGAGGCTCGAACCACCGAAACTGCAACCCCATGATTATGAGTCCGGTAGCTTAACTGATTCCGTCCATGATTTTTTCAGGCTCTGGACAGAGTTATTTTTCCCTGCTCAGTTTTAGACCTGGGGTGCATCTATTTAATGCATTACTGTGAAGCTCTAAGTCACTCTAATAGGTATTGTCATACACCAAACTGATGGGAATAAATAGAAAAATCTGTGTACTGTTTGTATTACATTTTCCTTCTGACAAAAACGAATGCAGAAAAAAAATTGCGCAACAGCTCTTTGAAAATTTCGACTTACCGCATTTTCTCAGCTCTACAAGTCCTTATAATCCATAGGAATCAACACAACATTGTAGCGATATCACCCTAGCACACATTTATGCAAGAATTTCACAAATTTAGTTGAATATCTTTCTTTGAAGGGCCTTTTTATTATACCAGGCTCCGTGTTGTTTACCCTTAGATCTAGCCTACATAGCGACAACAAAACGATTTTGCAAGAATTTCGCGGAGTTTCGATCGATATTGGCGCTCAGAGATTGAGGTCAGGTTTGTTTACAAGTTCTACTTCCTTTCGACAACTTAAAAAGTAGGAACTATGTTAAAAAGTGCACCTTTGTTTCGGATTTCGTTGAGCCGCTCACAGCGGCCGAATGGAGGCAGCGGAAAAACTCAGAGCCACTGTCAGCGGCCGAATGGACGGAATCAGTTAACCACTAGACTACCGATGCCACTTACTTACTTTACTTTACTTTATCCGCCCTCATGTACCTCTAGGGCGTCGAGAGGAGAAAGAGCTTCTTGTTTCTAACAAGTTTGATGGCCTGGCTGGGTAGGATATTGTATGTTCTCAGGGTATCCTTCACACCCTGGATCCATGTCTGTCTTGGTTTTCCTCTTGCCTTGTACCCTGATACTTTCCTGTAGTAGGCTTTACTGACAAGCTGGTGAGGTGCCATACGTGTGAGATGTCCAAACCACCTTATTGTTTGCTTTCGAATGTAGTAGAGGACAGGTGTTGCTCCCACCATTTCTCTGATCTTGTTGTTTCTGACCATGTCCTGTCTGGTTTTGTTGACCGATGCCACTTATATGACCTAATTTCAAAGGACAAAAAAAAAATAAAAGAAAGTCTGTGAGTGGGTGGTTGGCGGGTGCTCTGGTGTGGTTTGTTTCTTCTTTCCTATCAAACATCTATCGTCCTTATCTCCCCTTCTTCTTTTTTATGTTTGTTACTCTCTTGTAACACCTCTAATCTTCTGGCGCTCATATGACCTTATGCAGTTGCGAGCGCCGTAAAACCTCTACCAAAACTAAAAGTCTGTGAGCAGGTTTGATTGAGCTTTTCCTTTCCCTGCAGGTTGACAAGCTTGTTGCGAAGATCCTGGACAAGTCCTCCGTGCAGGGAGCGCGCAAGAACATCGAGATCGGCCACGGGGACTTTTTCCTCACCACCTTCAGTTCCACGCTGGCTTCACACATCATGACGTCATCGGCACGGGAAATCGTCAGGTCGTTAATGACGCATGCGTCCAAGGAGCCCCGCTGCGTCAGTCGAGTGCTCCTGGCAGTACTCGACCATGCTTTGAAAGATCGGAGTTTACGGAAAAAGTAATAGTACTTCATCTATCAATGTCTGAGGAGAATATTTCTTTGGGGGGTAGTTTAAAAATATATTTTAAAACTTTCCATTATTGGCCACATTCCTTTCACTGTTTTGAAAATATGATAGCCTAGATGTAGGGCAACACATACACTAACAGTGTCATCACTTGGAAGCGGCCCCCTTGTGATTTTTAGGCACACTTTTGTTTTATGTTAGGGATGAAGATGAGGACTTATTTCCTAATTTCAGGTCCCTCTATGGGAGGAGTTGGGAATGAAGGTTGTGTCCTGCCCCTCAGGACGGAAAGAAAATCCATCTTTGAATGTTATCAATATCAGAATAAAACCTGATGAAAAGAAACGTAGTGGAGCCTGCTTAAACTGAACATGGTGAATCTGAAAGCAGCAGTAAACCGACTGAAAATAAAAAGCTCAATTAAAAAAAAAAGTATTCCCCCCCCACACCAAAGTTCCTGCTAAACAGAGGAAAACCCAGCCAGCGGTCCGTCAGATTTTTGTTCAAGCGGGCTCCACATTAGCCAAATGTTGCCTTTGAAGGGCTTCATTATTAGATCATTTTGTTCATCAAGTCAATATTTTGTGACGTCGGTGGCCTAGTGGTTAGGCTCTCGGACTCACAACAGTAAGGTCGTGGGTTCGAATCACGTCAAGGTCCCGGCGTTGTGTCCTTGGGAAAGGCACTTTACACAAATTTTCCTCACTTCACCCAGGTGGGAATGGGTACCCGGCTATAGACAGCGAAAGATCTTGTCAGTTTGTTAGTGTTTGAGC